ATTAATTAGCAATAGATGTCGACGATACTAGAGACAACAATACTTCGAATACATCACCTAAAGGTGTTACTACACAACTTGCAGATGTTACTAACAACCTTAGTGGGCATGAAATTCTTCGTCAATCTGCTCGTCAAAGTCTCGAGGCATACACTGAAAAAATGGTTCAACAAATGTCCAAGGGTAAAAGAAAACTAACAGGATATGAGATTAACGATTTAGTAAGGGTGGCCATTCCCAAAATTGACAGATTTAGTATTGATCGGCCAACCCTTCCATGCAAAATACTTGACAAAACTGAAAATAACAAGTATCAGTTGGGGTCAAAATTTGGAATTATTGAAGTTCTTTATTTCGCCAGTGAACTTGAACCTTTGGGCACTACTAGCTTCCCCGAACTTGACATCATACCATCAAATAAAATATCAATCAGGGAAGCAGGACGGCTCCAAAGTATGGGTCCATCATGTGCAATTTGTAGCTGTAAAAGCGACTGTAGTAATAATAGGTGTCGCTGTAAAAAAAGCGGCGGTAAATGTGGCAGTAGATGTCATGGTGGGCGTTCATGCCAAAATAAAGAGTAGATAAATAACTTATGCGATTTATATGTAATTTGTTAACTGTTGTAGAAAATGAAATATTTAAATAAAGATGGATACGCTTTAAAAAATAGTGCAAAATCAAATGCGTCAGATAATAACTGACGCACCTCAGATCACCTGAGGTACCTCATCTAATGCTTGATATCTGAGGTGCGTCAGCTGTCACCTGACGCGAGCATCGATCTGAGGCACAACATATACATGCATTACTATTACTGATGGTTAATAAGTTATTGACAAAATTAGACACAATTCGTTGAGGTAATGTAACGTAACCATTGATTGTAACAATATTATTCAAATATTTATCGTTATCAGCTATGTATAATGCGTACCGGCTGATATTAACAGATAAACACGTATAATTTAGGATACATTGCTTACAAGTTTAAATTGTTTTGTATAACCGTTGAATATATAAATAAATATACGGCGTCGGTAATTATTATTTATTTTTTTTAAAAAATCAAAATCCGAAATGGAAAATAAAGGATTGACGGAAGAACGATTAATAAATTCAGATGGTATATTCTGGCATGGTTATTGTTACGAACATGGAATTGGAGCGGAACAGGATGAAAAAAAGGCGTTTATTAATTATCAAAAGTCAGCAGAGATGAATAACCCTAACGGAATATATCAAGTTGGATATTGTTATAATTTAGGAATTGGTGTTGATGTTGATAAGTGTAAAGCATTTGAATATTATTTGAAGTCGGCTGAGGCTGGTAATTTAACGGGAATTCGAAAAAGTGCCATTTGCTTCTTTTACGGCATTGGCGTGAAAAAGAATGAGAATAAGTTTCGTGAATGGTTTTATAAGTAAGTTAATATTTTGAATTTTATTTTAAAAATTGAGAATATTTTCATACATTTCTAATAATTCATTTTAATTTTCAGGGAGTAAGTACAGTATAAAAAAGTATATTTATTACAATTCATTAATAAATTCACAATATTACTTATTGTGTTAATTTAGCCCGTAAGTATAAGGAGTATATATTAATGATTAAGATTAAAAAAGCGAAGCATGTTCACAAATCAAGAACATAAATACATATTTACCATTACTATTATGTAATGCCCTTTAAATCATTTCATTCGCATTAATTTAGTCTGTGAGTGTAAAGAACATTTATTAATCATTGGAATTAAAAATAGCAAAGCAAGTTTACAATCAAAACATAAATACTTATTTACCATTACCATTATGTAATACTCTTCAAATCATTTTTTTCGCATTAATTTAGCCGGTAGTATAAAGAACATTTATTTATCATTGGAATTAAAAACACAAAGCAAGTTCACAAATCAAGAACATAAGTATTTATTTACCATTACTACTATGTAATACCCTTCAAATCATTTCATTCGCATTAATCATTCATTCAGTGGGTGAGTATAAAGAACATTTATTAATCATTGGAACTAAAAACAGCAAAGCAAGTTCACAAATCAAGAACA